AAAAATAGACAACAAAAATACGGTACCCGAATTCTCCCTCCGTTTCTGGCGTCTGCGGACTGCTCCGTATGCTTTGCATCTAAGCAATCTAAGCCCTGGTTGCCTTGCGCGGTCGCTGCTTTGCTTGGCATCTTTGACTTTCGCACCGAAGGCATGTTGTGGGACTACCCTGGCACGCCAAGGAATTCAAGCTTTGGGGGCTAGATCTCCGGACTTGCAGCACCATCACTCCTTGCAGCCCCTAATTCAAGATGCAGCCTGGTGGATCCATTGGATGGATCCAACGATCAAGCCAGCACTGCCCCGAAATTACTTGTCCTGCGCCGTGCGCTCGTTTGAGACCTGCTCCTCGCCAACAACCTGACGAAGAAATGAAAGCCTTTCCTTGCCGGCACTATAAGGCGATTGCGCACAGGACAGCATCACCTTGGCGACAATCTGTGCCCAGAATTTCTCCTCCTGACGAAGGCACACAGCCTGTTCTGCCGGCACAGATTGACTTCCCGTCGGCCTCGGCCGGCGGTCGGTTGCCAGCTTCTCGTTTCTGCTTGGCCTCATGCGTGCAGATAGCCGGCATTTACTCGAGATTCGGATGCTGAGCGCTGAACTGTTCGCATGTCCACACCATGCAATGCCTGCAAAAGCTCCGGCAATACTGTGGCCATGGATGATTTCGAAGGATGGGTCTCGGCCTTGACAGCCTTCTCTGCCATGGCAGTTTCAGCGAATGTCGCCTGGGTCAAGTCGCATATGTGCCGGCGCACATGTGCGTTGGCTTTCCATAAGACATGTTCAAGTTCAAGCAAGTGTCAGTCGCCGTGGTCACAGCGCCTGGAGACGCAATCACCTGTGATGAAATCGCATCGGTCGGCCGACCCGACCCCTCTTTTTCGCAATTGGTCGAGCCTGCAGCCTGGAAAGTTGGCCAAAGGTTCCCAGCAGCTTCCTCACAGCGAAAGGATGCGGATGCAGCTAACATCCGAAAGCAGCCCCCGAGTGTGTTGGAGTTGTGTCCTCAGCTTGGAATCGATGTCTCCACCCTTGTTGTCCATCCAGGACTTGGGAAAGTTGCGCATGATCAGCCTCAGACTCACGTGACCTCCATCAAAATTAACTCTCAGTTTAGAGACGACCGTGAAGCCTTGAAGCCCTACGACAACCAGATGTATCAAGTTCCTAACCTTTTTTGCGACGGTCCAGAACCACAGGGTTTGGATTCTCAAGGCTGTGTAATCTTAGGCCTAACACCTCATTGCCACGTACTTGGCGAACTTTGTCCTGGTTTGGTTATCATTTGTTTCTAAAGTTTGGATTTTGATCATCTTTGTTTTGTGTGACTGATTCGAATTCGGGTGCTGGCTCCTGCTGCTCTACAACATCGCCGAAGCCAGGGTGATTAAGCGATCGGGTGGGTGGGTGGGTGGGTGGGNNGGCGGGCGGGCGGGCGGGCGGGCTGGTGGGCGGGTGGGCGGGTGGGGGGCGGGTGGAGGTGGGTGGGTGGGTGGGTGGGCTTAATATTCAATCTGTTGTCGGTGGCTTGAGATTCAACTGAGTTAAATGTCTGACCCCAGTCATGGCCCGAACCCCTGGCCACTCCAAGATCAGATCCCAAAACAGGAAAAGGGTTGATATCTGCGAGGGGTACGTACGTGTTCATTTTATATCTAGCGGCAGTTTGGGCATCCCCCCTTTTCAAACTTACACACCTCCCGTTACACGGATCGTCGAAGATTGGCTCCGCCCTGCATGCAAAACGCTGACCAGAAAATTGTCTTATATTATAATCAAGCAGCCACGGACTTCATGATAAACAGGCGGGGCTAGCTCACACCCTCAAATGTCACGATCCCTTGCTGTTTTCCTGACTGCGGTTGCCTGAAAGCTTCACGGCCACCGTAGCCCCATAGCGGACCTTCGGATTCTAAGCCTTTCCGAAGTCTGGCGCCGATTCGGTCCAACTTTCCTTCGTATGGATTGAGTACAGTCACGGATCTCTCTATTCTGTCCGGGCCAGGGTACGACGCGGACTCCATGCCCGCAGGGACGGTCCCGTTTGAGGCGGGCATGACCTCAAGCCTGGCTTGCATCTTGACACTTGCCAACACTCAACAGTCAACATCGGTCAACAGTGGCGCATCCGTCCTGCCGGCAGATCACGATGCCATGGAGTGAAACTGAGTGATGCGGCTCGCACATCTAAGCATGAGCCGTGGAACTGTGCTACCACGACACGTGGCTGAGCTAAACCTGGCCTTGTGGTTCTGTATGATAGCACTGGTATCGGGACGGTTGGCTCAGATCTACCGCACTTCCATCAGAAGTTCGAGTCCGCTTCAAGCACTGCCTTGTCATCTTTGAGTTGCTACGGATCTGCTCTGTCGTGAAAGCACGGTGTGGATGCTTTTGCGAGTCGTCAACATGGATACCTAAACCTACCCTGGAGCCACGAGTCACGAGGACAATCAATCGGAAACAACGCTTTCTTCGTGTCGAGGAAGCACAACAATGCTCCTCGGCTTCTTAACAGTGTGCTCAGTCGCACAGCCAATGTCGTCGGAACGAAAAATGAATGTCTTCGCAAACGGCCATCTCAAACCAAAAGAGACCTGCAATTTGACTTCAGGGGACTGCCACACGGTCCAGTCTAGCTTTGCCAGAAATAAGAACAGTCGTGGCAAACCCACTCCTCCTCAAAGGAGCCTGTGGGTTGGGAAATTTGGAATTGGCCCGATCACGAAGCCCAAACCAAGGCCACACAGACATTGACATTAACAGCCATCGTTCAGAAGCAGCTAGCATCACTTCAAAGAGTGCTTTTCATCATCTAGCAGTTCTGACTCTCTCTGAGCGCTGTGCGAGGCTGCGCCTAAAACGACCTTTGTCTCAGGACGGGTCCCTCAACCTCGTCTCGGTATCCAGGATTTGATCCAAACCGCGCTCCTGGGTATCTGTTGTTCGTGCTGCTGTCTGTCCCACACGAATCTAAACTGAGGCTCTGGCTCCGATCATCTGAGACCTTCGAAACGGTTGCAGCAAGCATGCACCCAGGAGTTTTTCTTCATGTGGCCGGTGCTGACACAAAGCTCCGCAAAACGAACGCCTTGCATCGCTGCTTGGTGCTAAACAGCGTTACCTGTAAGCACCTAGCCAGGATGCGCCAGTCGATGGATGCGTCCACGTTTGAGAAGGCAATCTTCATCACCTGGACAGAACATGGTTGAAGCTACACTCTGCTTCAGTTACTACTACTACTACTACTACTACTACTACTACTACTACTACTCCTGCTGCTGCTCCTGCTCCTGCTCCTGCTCCTGCTGCTGCTGCTGCTGCTGCTGCTGCTGCTGCTGCTGCTGCTGCTGCTGCAACTACTACTGCTACTACTACTCCTCCTCCTCCTCCTCCTGCTGCTGCT